TTCAAGATATTCCCTCAGTCTATCCTCTGAGTTTTAGTGGAAGTAGCTATTTCAGTTACTAATGGTTATTTTTGACCATATCTGGCTTCTAATCACAAATCTATTCTATCAGACACAAAATTCACTTTGAACACTTAAATCTGATCAACCCAAGGAAAATATCTGCATGCCTAAAGTTACAAATTAACCAAAGGTCAATACAGAGGTATTCCCACTTTAAAGAGAGATACAGATTCCTCTAAGAATAGCTATAAATACATGACACCAAGTCCCTTTCTGTTACTGAGCTGGGAAAGAGCCTGTCCAATGGCACAGAAAATGCCAATATTTCTGCACTGGATACCAGGCTTCATAGCTGTAGTTAGTAGAGCAGTTACAGGCAGCTCTCTTCAAACTTCTTATGGGAATATTTGCAAACAGCAAGGGCTCAAACAGACCTTATGGGCACCTCAGAAACGTGAAGAGGAAAGCTGACCAGATGGATATCCCAAACCTTGTAAAACCATGCTCAGCAAAGCTGTGGTGAAGAAGGACAGAGAGGATATCCAGAGTTAGAACACTTGTTACACTTCTCTCTTCCTGAAGATGGCCAAGCACAGGCCTGCCCATGGAAGAGATGAATAACTGCAACTTTTATTCTACCCATCAAATTCTCCTCATCTCTGTCTACTGGTCTTCTCATTTTTACCCTTGCAATTTTTCTCTCCCAGGTCAGGGGGAGTCATGAATGCCAGACAGAAATAAACTTCAACAAGCTGACAGGTGATAAGGTCCCTACTGGTCTATTCATCTTTCTGTGGCTCTTTGGTCCTTTTAAACAGCTATATTCTCAGACAAGATGAAATAAGAATGGGACTAAATATATTCACTAAGAGTTGTGACTTTATAAGAAAAAATGTGTAGAAGCATCTCAAAAATTATTCATGGTCTGAACACTGCATTAGGTTGTTTAAGAGTTTTGCAATGAAGCATAGTTTCTTCTCTTCAAAATGGGTGCAGTTCTCAGAGAACTACAAAACCCCAGCAAGGCACTGCCCTTATGTATGAAAAACTGAGTGAATAATTTCTAATAACCTGATTATTTTGCACAGCCAGTGGGTCAGAAAGTGCCTCTCAGAAACCAAAGAGGCACCCATACCTGTGAACAATATATTAAGCTGTTTCAGTTGCAGTCTTCTATGGATCAGAGCCAGAAGACAGGACCCCAGCTTTGCTTTTTTATCTCTACAAAATACAGCTAAAATGGCCAATGAAAAATGCCTGTCAAAGGAGTCAGCAGTCAGCGCAATGAAAATCTCTTTATCAGACAAGATATGGAGATGAGACTAACAAAAACCTCATGGCACAGACAAATAGCATAGCTGTTTAGAAACTTTAATTTTACTCAATGCCAAGGATTCACAAACTGTCATAAACGCATCCATTTCCTGAAATGTGCACAGCTGTGAAATTTCTGAACAACTCCTGAGCTGAAGGTTTGGTGAAGCTTCCAATAACCAAGATACTCAATAGCCAGGACATCCAGGTATCCAGGACAGTCAGGATCCTGCCATGTTTTTCTTGAAAACAAGTTTCTGGTAAGATGCCCGTGGGCCCATTCCAATTTACAACGTCAGTAACAAGCTCTATTTTCTGTTCTTTCATTGTTCCTTACATCTGGAGGCAATAACCAAGTATTTTACAGCTCTGACTTATGAAGAAACAACAACAAGATCTTGCATTTTCAGCTGGTTGAAATTATAGCTCTAGACATTTGGACATCCTCCTTTCTCTGAATAGTAGAGTACCTCCAAACTAGTTCTGCTTGCATGAGCCCCTCCTCGCTTCCCTCAGTCAAAACACAGAAGGCTGACAGAAGGTGGCCATCATCATATTCTAGTTGTTCAGGTTAACCCAGCTCACTGTCTGAAACAGGCTTACAGGAGCTCACAAATCACAGCATGGGCAGAGACAACACACTCAATGGCAGGACAGTCTCGTTTGCACCAGAAAGGAAGATGACACAAGCAGCCACATTGGAATAAATTTCCACATACTTCCATTACAGCCTGGATTTAACATCAAGCAACAAGACACACATTTTCAGTGGAATTACATCAATTAATCTTGGATACAGACTTAGCTTTCTGCAAAGGTATAATACAGTATTGAAGGACTTAGTCCTTTTCTCTCTGATATTCCAATGGGAGCTTTACTGCTTCCACAGTAACAGCCACTGTTAAACTGAATGAATATTATTAAAGCCATCTAGACCTCTGTGGCTATCTAGTGTTTTGCCTCATGTACAAAAAACAGATACTGCAGATCTTTGACATGAACAGATCAACTGGCAATGAGATTATTACACACCCTGCCCTAAATTAAAGTCCTTGATAAATTACTACATCTACTGCTTACTGATTATTTTCAAGTTTCTCCATGTATTTTTCCATTTAAAAAACCCAAAAACACCAATAAACAGGAGTATGGGAATGAAAATGTAGGTTTGAATGAGGCAGCCTAGGTTCCTCTGTTCACATGGCAACTTCATAAAAGACAGACTGGCAGTATAGAGATAAGTGAGAAATTTAGGGAAAGTGAAATAAGAAATGGTGCAATATATAAACAAGAAAGATGACAAAGACTGGTGCATGAAGGAGGAAGAAGGTAGAAATGGTGAAAAGAGAGTAACAGTGACCATTTTTTCAGAAAATCTAATGTATATCTTACACATATGTCACCAAATTTGAGTTTCAGGCAGTTGTTTGTGGACCCTTCTAATGGGAGCAGAGTACACAAACAGCAAATTAGCAGTTTGTTGATTAAACTTTAATACGGAGTGATTCTTCTCATAATACACAATTAACTTCCAGAACATCTTGTGGTGCAAATCTTGGACACTCTTTTTAAAAAAACAAAACCCCACAATGGTCAAAAACCAAACAAAACCAAAAACAAACCTCAAAAAAACCAACATCATGAAAAATACAAAAAAAAAAACCCAACCAAAAAACACCCAAAAAAAACCCCACCAAAATCCATGCACTCGAAATTTTAGCAAGTAGGTAAAAGTCTACCTAAACCTCAGGAGGATATTGAGCTACAAAAACCTGATACCTAGGAGAGCACTGCAGATGCCAACCAGCACACATGTGTAATAACCAGCGATATCACATGGAACTCACCACTGATTATCACTGTAAATGCAATTTTGGCTTAAACCATTTACATAATTCATCCCAGCTGTTCTCACTAATGAAAGCTACTCTGGCAGTTGAAGGGAAATCTCTCAGTAACGCTTTATGTAAGAGAGGCAGTGGTCCAGACTCACAATACAGTTGGCACAATGAAAGCAAAATATTCATTCTCAATCTACTATTCACTGTGGATACCTGACAGTAAAATGAGCATCCCATCAGCTCAGACAACCTAGTTCCCAGTTCACTGGTGTCCAAAGACCATAGGAAGGAAGAGTTCTCATTCTCTGCCACACAGCAAATTTTCAAGTCCTAAAATGTGCTTCCACTACACCTCAGAAATCCCAGGTGTTACAGCTCAGCGAGATCTTTCTACTATTTCATTTTCTATAATTGAGAGAGTTTAATTCAACACATTAACTTTTTTGCAACATGCACAGAGAAAATATTTTCCATTTGAAGCCACTTAAGTAACTAAGCCTCTCTGTACTTAAATGCTACATATTTGCCATTCACACTGTACAATGAATGTATACTTTGTCAAAAGCAACTTAGCTTGTGTTTTCCAAATGGAGACTTTGTTAATATGGAAGCTATTTGAAAGATGCATTAGAAAACACAGTTTTTCCTCTGCACAATCAAATTATAGACAGGAAAGGCTGAGCACACATTTTGTGAACTGCAAAGAGAATGAAAGCAAGATAAAATAGGAAGGAAGTGAAATTAATCATGCTAAAAGCAAATAGCTCCAAGATAAAGCAGTTGGGAACCCTTTCAAAGTACCAAAGCCCTCATGTAAGTTGGGTTTGGACCTCAGTGTCCCTTGCCACACTCTCACTTCTGGTATCAGCAACCGTATGCATGATTAGCTACAAAAAGCATGACACCATTCTGTTGTTACTATACAACTCCCACTGCCATTTATAATCAGTTTGTCCATGAATATTTTACCAGACTAAAGTAACACTCAAGACAAAAGTTTAACTAGGCCTACATCATCAGACAATCACTCTTCTCTGGACTATGGTACTCTACACGATGAATCCTCCAATTTATATTCAAGCTAGTAATAAGTCCAAAGTCAATTTTCATCACCTCTCTCTTCCAAATCTGCAGGAAAATCACAAGATTAAGGCAGTTCCCTAAATGCTGATGCCAGAAAAAGCTTACTGACACAGCTTTTAAAAGCTTCTCTTTAAGCAACAAGGCTTCCCCTTTCCCCTTAGAGACTCTATCCCAAAAAGACTGTGTACATAAACAAAGCAGCAGAGTGGAATTGTCAGCAATTGATACAAAGCCCATTTCTTTGCCAACGTCTGCAGTTAGAGGAGTTTCAGTAACTTTTTTATCTCATGGTAACTGTGATTTGGACACTAAATCTATCTTATCTCCTGCAGCTTTAGTTTCAAACCACATCAATAAAAACATTGTTTGCGTTACACTGCAGTCTTTCTCCGGGCACTGAAAAAGACTCCAGTAATACACACTGTGTCACACAGAGATGCACAGAACTCTACTCATGCAATTTTTGTCAACTGCAGATTCACATCATTGCTTATTCCTTCAGTGCATTTTTCCCACAGATCTTTTTCTACCAATGCACAGATTATAAAAAGAATCTATAAAAAGAAAAAAAAAAAAGGAGCTTAAGAAAAGGCAAGTGACTTTAACATACATTTAAAACCCTCTTTCTATACTGCAGGGTTTTTTGCCAAGGACAGACAAAACCAGAGCAAAACCAGAGAAACATGCACCAATCCTATTTCTGTAAATGTCAGGGACAGAAAACGCTTCAGGAAAAGAGGAACAGAACAATTTTCTTTTTAGATGGCCATCTATGCAGAGGAAGAATAAAGTTCTTCCAGAAGATACTGGCAAGACACGTAGGTGGAACGTGACCACAACAACGTGCCAAGAAGGCTCCCGCTATAACGAATGAACACATAAGCGTTTCTCATGTCTCCTCCAGCTTCTTTCCCGGCAGGTCCCAGCAGCAGCCGCAGCACAGCACTGCGTCGGCTCCCTTGGAAAAAACCTCAGAGACAAATAAGTTTCTACAAGATCTGCAAACTGAAATGGAGTGAAGCCTCGGAACGAGGCCAAACAAAGAAAATGGGTCGTTATTAATCCACTCTAAGGCGGAGACACACACACCCACACTCACACCCACATACCCCAGCGAAATTGGAAAGAGGTAAGGTGAGAATATTCCCCTGATAGCAGAAGAAAAGGGTAAATGAAAGCAAAACGGAGGTACTTGGAGAAAAGAGGTTTGAGCTTCTCCTGGCAGCAGAACCCCCATCTCTCCGTGACGGAAGCACCGAGGAGCCGAAGCAGAGGTGTGCGGTGGGGCCGCGACCTGGTGGGGGCCAGGTCGGCAAGGGCAGCGGCGGGGCGGGGGCCCGCGCAGGAGTGAGGGGGGCCTGGGCAGGAGCGAAGCACCGGCGGCGTGCCGGGGAGGGGAGGCTACGGGAGGGGAGGGCCCGGCGGGCGCCGGATCGGCCACGGCGCGCAGGACCTGCAGCCGAGAGCGACCTCTCCTCACCTCCAGGGTGGACACGGTGCTGGTGAAGAGGTCCTCGCCGTCCTCCAGCTCCTCGAGGTCGGCGGGCCGCGTCTCTCCCAGCGGCGGCGGCTCCCGCTCCGCCGCCATCTTCCCCTCCGGCCCGGCCCCCGCGCTCACGTGACTGCCCGCCGCCCCGCCGCACGTGACCGCGGCGGCCCGGCCGGGGAGGGGCCGGGCAGTGTCCGTGAGGCCTGCGACCCCTCTGCAGCCGTCACAGCCCTGCCACATCCACAGCCCCTGCCACATCCCCGCAGCCGCCACAGCCTCTGCCACATCCTCACAGCCCCTGCGACACCCCTGCAGCCGCCACAGCCCCTGCCACTTCCATAGCCCCTGCCACATCCGCAGCCCCTCATCAAACCCCTGCCACAGCACCTGTCGCATCCGCAGCCCCTTAGTCTTTCCAAGAAGAGGTAAAGACGCAGAATTCCATAAGTTAGATTGTTTGGTTTTGGGCACTCATTAAGAAAGGTGTGTGAGAAGTTTAACTTCTTTGATTCAATAATGGGCTAAAGAGAACTGTGGACACAGAAACCTATTATAGGGGGTTTTTTTTATGTCAGAGGGGACAAGAAATAACCCAAAGATAACTATAGAACCTGGATTTTTAACTAATTGATATTCAGGGTTGAAAAACTGGATTAGTAAATATGTGTGGAAAAAGAACCAAAATTAGAGACAAGTATTCAAAGAAATAAATTGGAAAATAATGAATGCTGCAGGAAAATTTAGAGGGACTGCAAAAAGCCAATCACATGTGAGATTGTGATATGTTACTGCAAACAGCAAAACCCCAGTTTAAACCGAAGCCTTATCCTTGTCAGTGTAGGTATTAATATGTCATTTGACAAATACATAAGAGCTACCTCATGCTACTAAGTGAAAATCTAAGAGGAAGGTACTCATGGATCCTAGTGGAAACCACTGCCACCCCTTCTTCTGCAGCCAATAAATCCACCCCTGTAATGCTGTGTGAGATGGATATGAACAAAGTTGCAAAGCTGCTGAACAGCAGAAATAGAAATACCAAAGCTAAGTTTACATGTGGAGCTTGTGTATATGCCACGTGCCTACTTTAATTATCTGGTTATGTGATAAGATTTTACAGGAGCCCTCTTCCCAAGTAGCATTTACTACAGTCACCGTTTTCCCTTTTTTCCTAACCACTCTGCATTCATTTATTATATGCATTCTCAAGTCTACACTGAAGACAAAAGGATTTGTCTTCTCACATCCATCCATTTCTCTGAGGTCTGTCATGGCCTGTTTCACAAGCACTGATGAATTTTATCTTCAGGGTATGATGCCCATTACGCAGGAACTGAGCAGAGATGGAAAAAATTTGACCTAAACTATTTACTGACCTAGATGCCCTAATTGAGATCACAAGGATTTGTGGGGTTTTTTTGCTAGAATACCTAACAATTCAACAGTTTTGTGACCATGGCAGGAAGCCCCAGAATCACCGTACTATCCTTACCCCCACCCATTTTCAGGAGCAGCCTTTTATTTCTTTCCTTCTCTATTGTGTCACTTTCTTCCCTTTATTAACTCTTGTCAGGTCCCAAACTTTCTTGATTAGCCTTGGGAGCCATTGAGAACCCTCTGAAAAAGGTAACTTCTGGTTTTGGCCCACCAACCAATAGTTCCTCCAAATCAATACACCTGCGGCATGAAACTGTCACTGTACGACTCCTTCTTCTGCCCCCAGCATCTGTAGGCTCTGCCAGTCTCCGTAGTCCAGCACTTTAGAGGACATATAGAAGTCAAAAATGTACTCTGCATAAACACTCCTGGGAGCTCTTACACAATAAAAAGCTTCATTTTTTTTCCCTGCAGAATCAGGTTTCACTCAGGAGTATAATACCCTTGGTTTTAAATTGCTTTTAAAATGAACAGTATAACAGCGTTAGGGCTTCATATAACCAGGGCTTCCCTGGTTCAGCTCACAGAGGTGCTGAAGTCTTGAGATAGTTACAAGAACTTATCTGGGTTTAGGCACTATACTTTTTACTAGATAGTTACAAGAACTTATCTGGGTTTAGGCACTATACTTTTTACTACCTTCTGCCCATCTGTCAAAAACTATTAAATTAGATGCAAAGTAAAGATGAACATGCTCAAGCAATGTGAATCAAGGTTTACAATCAAATATGTCTGATTTTTAGTGTCTTATTTCACTGACTCTGTTTTAGGATTGTATTAGTACAATAGCCACTGTAATGTTGTGTTATTTTAGTAACTGAAATATCAGTAAAACTGAAAGAAAAACATGATTCATGACTTAGAAATAACTGTTTTGGGAGAGAGAGTGATAGTGAATTATGCAAGTTCAAGGTCAGCCTGCGTTGTTTGGATCTGGAGGGAGCCACAGGAGATCACCTAGTCTGTTTGCTGGAAAATGTTTGTAACCTTTTCTTCAACAACTCCAGTGATGAACACTCCAAAACTTCTGCAGCAAAACTGCTTTAATGCTTTGCTCTCTAGGATCAGAAAAGAAATTCCATCCCTATCCTACCAGTCAAACATCTTCAAACACAGATGAAGTCTAATTTTGCAGCAGCACGACACTGGCCTTGTTCAGTTTGTGACCATATTCAGGACAGGTATTGGCCTCACTTTGTAGGTAGGAAGTGATTATTCTGACTGGATAAAATCTCTCCCTACTGAATTTTGTATTTTTACCAACATTTGTTTGGTACCAAAGTTTGTTTTGATGATTTTAAATTCTTAAACTACGCTACAACTGTTTGGTGGCACTCGTAAATACAGTATGCATTTCCCACTTTCTATTTCTGGTGAGAATATTAAATTGTATCAGGCCTATGGTAGATCACTTCATTCATCTTTCATTCAATTCATCCTTCCAAAAAAAATTGTAATCACCGAAAAATAGCTTTTGACTTTGTTTTCTGCACTGGCTTTGTACCTTTGTATAATAGATTAACTGGCTTTGTATAATAGATTAACATATATTGTTTCATAAGCTTTCTTATGAAGCAGTCATAAAAGATAAATGTTCAAGAAATACCAAAGGAATGTTTCCTCTGGTAACATTCAATCATTCTGAGATTTTTCAAGAAAATGGCTAAATACCATGGGGGAACAACAACCACCAGAACGCATAGAATTAGAGGAAATACATTTTTTGAGATTTTGTTTTTCCCTTTTATAAAATATATTAAAAGGAATATTGTGTTCTTGTATATTGACTGCGCTCACTCACAGCAGTAGAGACTTTCAGTGAGTCAGCCTTCCTAAGAAAAATCACGAAGCAAAAGTATTTACCAAATCTGTAATATTTGATTTTGTGCCCACTCATACTTTCAGACAAATAAACTACACTTCAAATTATGATGACTGTTCTTTTGTTCTGTCTTTCCATCTGAGTATTTAATTGCATATCTTATTAAAAAAAAAACCTTTTCTGTCACCTTTTTTTGCCAGTGAGTGGTCAGTGTTCTCATATATTACAGAGAAATATTTTTAATGTATGTGAAAGAAACCAGTTCTTCTATCAGTTAGATATTTCATTTGCCTTTGGAGTAGTGGCACGTTCTGCCCTCTAACAAATAATGGAATGAGAATTTCTATTCTCTGGTTCATCTAATGTTCCAGTACACTTAAATATAGAGCTCTACTGCACTAGCTGGGTATGTTTACCCTGTTAGAATGATGTAGAAGTACTTTGTTTTGAAGATTCTTAAGCACTAACAGCAGGTGACAACTAAGCACTGGTTACTGTTACATATGCTGACCTGCTATTTAGATTTTCCTCCACTGTTTATTATTTACAAGAGAGAGCTTTGAATTTATTTTGCACTGCTAATCTTAGATAATCCAGGTCATTGCAATTTATAAAAGACAGAGTAGCCTCTGAGATCCTGATTTGCTTTGGGCTTCAGAATCCTGCTCCTTGACAACTGTCTGTCAAATTTCATGGGTTGTGTTCTGATACAGGAGTCATGCTCAAGACAAATACCAGATGTTGTTAGCAACATTTTACCTGATGTTTACCTGATGTCTCAGACCAACCTGAGACATCTCTTGCCAAAGTAGGAAATGTGTTTTAAAAGATCCAGAATGGATGGAGATGGGACAATACTTGGAAAAAGCGTAATATGCAACTGCCTGAAGTTAACACTTCTTCAGTGATCTGCTTTTGTCCACAGAGAGAAGCACAGTCTTAATCACAATAAAGGGAACTATGGGTTCCTAAGTGCCAAGTAATCCTGGCATATTCTAAGTTGGAAAAGACCCACAAGGATCATCAAGTGCAACTCCTAAGTAAATGTCCTGTGTGGGTATTGAACCCACAACTTGGTGTTATTAGCACCATGCTCTGACCAAGTGTTAATCTCATCTCCCTGACCTAGTTTGTCCAGTTATAGCCCAGTTAAATTTTGTGCCATGTAATTTCAAAACTGTGGTGCATGACTAAGTTAATTTCATACATTTCTGTAACTATAAACTGTCTATAACTGTCTTGACCTGCTTTCCTGCTTTCAGAGAATGTAGCAAAATACTGTAAAATGTGCAGCTTGTCTGATGTAGGGCATGCTCATTTGCAGCATTTTATTAATAGCTTTAACTCATTTTATCAGGGATAAATTTTTACAAGGTTTTTTATGTCAAATCACTGAAGTCAACATATATTTTTTACCATTCTCTGATTTGCTAGGACTTTCAGTTAGATACAAGGACATCAGAAGCCATCAATCTCTTCAAAGATTCATGTGCAATCTTAGTTGTCATCCAAATGATGTTTATATCCCCTAATTCTGGTTGCTATTATTTGACACCTTTTTTTTAGAGCTATCTCTTCATATTTATGTTGTGAGTTTTCTTAATTCTTTCATCCAAAACTGAATGACACAAAAAAAGGGAACAGTGAGGGAAGGAGTCTGGACCTTCCATACAGTGTCAGAGACAAGTCACTGCACAGTATCAGTTGGTGCTGTCCCTGGGTGGCACATCAAAAGTTACCATTGGGAAATTCCTACAGATAGAGAAGAGGTTTCATGTAAGGGAGGCCTTGATCTGAGCAATTTTTCTAGATCTTTGGAATTTTTCTGTAATGGATTCTTGTTTCTTAAACTGTGGAACATTTTCTTTTCCTCATATGGGAGTCAGGGTCAGAGGTGATCCTCTTTTCTGCAGCTAATTTCTGGTACTGCACTAGGAAATGCCCAGTGCCTCCTAATTCTTACTGCCACCGCTTCACCAGTGATGAATGTAACATTGCCATTCGATTTCATCTAATTTGTCCAGGGAAAATTTAATCTAGCGAGAACTTTGTGGTCAGAACCATAACGAAAAGAGTTTCAAGGGGAAAAAACCAAATCAAACCAAAACTACCAACAACAAACAAAGCAACGATTCATTTCCAAGTGTCTATTTGTAGGAGAATTTTTTAAAAAATCACCTGCTGAAAGGACACACTTTGAGAAGAACTTTCTGTAACCAGATCTACATCTCATTGTATCTCTATCAGCCAGCAGTACTATCTCCATCTAGCGCAGGACTTCCTAAGATGAGCGTTTTTAAATGATTTTGTGTTATCACTTGATAGATGAAGAAGGTCTATACTGTCTTTCTCTTTCAAAGTGTTACAATTCCTGTGCTGATCTTAGTTTAGAAGATTTGAGTAAGGCAGAATGTGAATGAAGTGGAAGATTTTTGCATATTTTTTCTTCATTGGACAATCATGGGAGAAGTCTAAGGGTACAGAAGGTGGCAGTATGGAAGAAAATGAGATATGCATTTTTGATATGCAGCAAATGAGATATGCAATTTTGATATGCAGCAAAAACCAGTATTATAACCACTCCAGCTCACTTCTGTAAACCTTGGCAGAACTGTGCTGTTCCATCAGGTCTGCAGTCTGTGGGAAGGAAGCTTATTTCCGTGCTTGCTTGGCACAAAGTAGGGGCTGCTATAAACACGTACACCAGCCTACTGCTATTCTATGGGATTGCAGTAATGGGGCCTTGATCCATCACAAGGAGGCTGAGAGTTTTCAGGTGTTACCATCAGAATATATACAAGTTTTACTGATGACAGTATTTTTCTCAAAGATCTGTGTTCTCAAAACATTGAACTATAGCGCTGGTTAATTAATTAATTAATTCATAAAATGTATGTGGAAGGCAAAGGTGACATTGCTACTATGCCTTTGGAATATATAAGGAATAATATTTGTTATTTATATTCCAGATGGTGGACACAATGTATTTTGTATGTTCTCTGGCCTTTGAAGTCATTGCTAGGGAGTTGCCAAGAGGATTTCCAAAGAGATTGTGGAAGATCTGCTTTTTGGCTTCCAGCTGTTCCCTTGCTGCAACTACCCATGTACAAAATAAGGGAGTCGTTGCATCAGGTCTTATATAGGTTTTTAGTGCTTTTAAATAGTTTGTCCCTCTCAGCCTGCTGAGTGTGATTTATTTGAGGTAATTCACCTGGATTTTAAAGCAGAAAGTAAGAGAATGGAAATCTGCTCTCTGAAACCATAGTTGGAATTTTAAGAACATGCATATCCAACACTTCCTTCCAAAATCCTGCACTTCAGCACTCCCTTAGGTTTTTCATATGCATTTGGGTACAGTTCACATCAAATAACTTCAGGATAAAAGGTAGCAATCTAATGAAAGCTATTCCACCTAATTTGGGCTGTGGCAGGAGATAATAAAAATAAATAGATGATTTCTCAGGCATCCTATCCATCTTTAACTCTTACACTAGGAGCAATTTAATGATGAGTGCCTATTTTCATTGCCAAGAGAGGAAGTTTGTACTTACGTAGATGCTTAACTTTACACCAATTGTGATTAGGTGAGAAAATCCCGTTCTGCAAAACATATGCACATAATCTAAATTATAAACTCTCCGAGTTGATGAGCCTTAATCTTAAATGTAGCTTTCTGGCTGATTATAGTATTTAGCATAATAAAAATTATAAAGTGACTGCAGAATTAACTTGAGAAAAAATAGTATTAATAATACTCCAAATAGTCCAAAATTAGCCTGAGAAAAAATTTCTTCACTCCGTCCAGACACACTGGTACGTGTCTGCCACTGCTTTAAAAGAACCAGAGCCCTAAAATAAAAGAAAACAAAACACACACTCCAACTTACAAATATCTCTCAAAATGTTTGCATTTGCATGGATTATGAGAACTAGGAACAAGAAAGATTTGTTTCAAATATTCCCAGTCATTTTTTTCACAATATAACCTCCAGTCCACAGAGCCTTTTTTTCCCCACTTTGTGGACATACAAGATAAGGGTATGTGAAAGCAATTTTTCATTGAAAATTGCACAGTGGATATGCATGGACCAGAATTTGCTTTATTTCAAGTTTCACAGACCAAATGCAGCTGTAATTTGCATAATTTACAATTTTGCTGTAAACTGACTTGGGGCATGTGTCTACATTATAGCCAAACCAGGCAAAAGATAAGTAGGAAAAATGGAAATCTTCCAGCATAATTGATTTCCACCAAATAGCACTATCTCTGGCTGTTATAACAATTAGTTTATCAATTTAATGTTGGTTATGGCTTTCCCATTGAGGAATAGGAAAGTTTGCAAAACAGCAATGCAGAAAAATCTGGCACTGTTGCCACTAGAGCTGATACTGTATCTAATACATATATTTACTTTTCTTTAAGATATTTTCAGACATGTTAAGCAAAAATCTGGTTTTGCAAGACAATTCTCTTTTGACAAATTTTATTTCACTCTGCTCTGGCTAATTTTATCCTCTGGAGGCATAAACCTGGGCTTTGAAAAATCTATTTCCTTCATGCTTTTAATTCAAGTGATAACAGATGCTAAAGAGAGATGAAGAAAAAAAATATTAATCTCTCAAAAGTGTAGAGAAAGTGATCAACATAGTTTCTAAAGTTAATAAACACATTTTCAAATTTCTTCATAAGAAAACAGCTTCAAGAGCTCAGTGAAGTAATAAGTTAGAAGGAATCCATTGATGAATAGATGTGAACTTAAGTGAAAAAGCATTGAAATTAAATTGATATCTTAGAAAGGATTTTTTAAATGCTTGGCCTGCATAAACTACAAATTTAGCTACAGAGAGGGTGTGTGGCTTTCTAATAATCTATTTATCTATTTTACATTGCATCCTACAGCATATTTTATTTGTCTTGATTAATTTTGTGTTGCATATATCAAGAAACAGGACACCAAGCCTCTCATTTAAATAACAGAGGTTACAAATATGATTTGGCAATAAGATAATTAATGAAATCACTGAATCTGCTTAGAAATAATTTTTGTGTAAACTGAAAGTGATACTAATTAAATTCAGCATGACTATTCCAGAGTAGCCCATAGTGGGATTGTTTTAACTTCAACCCTTAAAAAACCCAGCTTCACCATAAGGACGCCCATTTTATCTTAGGTTTATTTTCACTTTCAGATAAAGACAGATAGTAAAGAGCTTTTGCTTACCTGTTTTTAAGCATGATATTGAATTTCCTTTAATGTAAGTATCCTCAGTTTTATGTTTCCCTTTTACTTAGGAAATACACACCTTCAAAGAGGAATCCCAGTTTACTCTAGATCACCCTCACTATCTCTTGTACCTCTTTTAAATGACCAAACAGGAAACTTATAGAAAGTGTCACCTTATCTTTGGTCCTTTTCTTGGGTAGCTGAGGTAGATGTGTACTTTGGCACAAGCTACATTTTAGCCTTTTTAGCTTTGATCTTTTACAAAAATATGCATTTTTTACAAAGATACCCACTATAAATCAATACAAGAGAGTGAAAGGATGTGGAGGTAAATATATATCACTGCATATAGATGAAGTACTTATATATAATGTATAGTCTATATTTATGATAAAGAACTTATATATAGTGTATAGTCTATATTTGTGAAGTATACAGACTATATATATTCTCTCTATATATTCTCTCATTTGAGTACTAGATATGTACACACTCTCAAAATATCTATATATATACTCTTCTGGTATACAAAATATAATTCTATCCATGTATATCTATCGCTGTGTATTATATACATATATATATATATATATATATATATATATATATATATATAATTCAAAAGAGAATTAAATTAAATAACCATTAATTAAAACAAAAAAAGCTTATTGTGGAGATCACCAAGTTGTCTTCCTAGCGTTGCTAGTGTACTGGCACAATAATATAAAGATAGTGGACTGATGTCTCTGTTCCTCCTTTTTTTGCAGTTGTAAGGTTAAAATGGAAGAAGGAAGAGCAGCCTCCCACTTCCTGCCTGATTCTAGGAATATAGATCTGAAACAGCTGACATGCTGATTTCTCCAGAACAGCAAACACAACCAGTCCATGGAACTAATTATTTTAATGCATTTGAAATCCTTGAAGATTTGGAATATTTTCTTCCAAGAAACATGCAACTTTCTCTTCACAGGTCAACTGAGTTTCTGCAAAATATGTGCTGTTTTGAAGCCCTTTTTCTTCAAGAGATGCTGAGATCTGTGGTGTCACAAACCTGTTTCCCCAGCTGCTCACCTGGAGCTGCCTCTGGCCACTTGCCTCAGTGGACCTGCCTGATGTGCCAGTGGGAGTGATCACTTTTGGAAGCCATCAGGTGAATGATCAAACAAATAAGATCTACACACCTGGAATCACTTTGTGGCAAACAGCTGTTCAAGGCATATTTTGGGAGCAGTACCTGCTCTGGGCAAATATGTCACTTGGTTCAGCTTAAGTTTGGCCCAGGTTCTTCTGCATTAGCAGAGGATGCGCTTGTGCTCTGGGTTTTTTTGCTCTCTCCTATGGAAGGTTATTGCTGGCTGAACCAGATAGCTGACAGACATAGTTAGAAATTATTTTGGCAGGCCAGGCAGGATCCAGCTGGGTTTGCACTCCAAAAAGCCTGACTGATTTTGTCTCAGGTAGTCACTTGCACTTGGTATCAGAGACACAGGACTAAAAGTATCATATAAGTAATATCATAAGTAATGAATAAGCAATATCATAGAGTTCATAAGTAATATCATATAGTTCATAAGTAATATCATATCACAAGTAATGAATAGCACATGTGCATAGACATGAAGAAAACATGATAGTTTTGGAACAATTGTTAAGAATCAAGATTCATGTTTAGAGACTATTTATTACGTCATACCTAATGATTGAACTATTTTTCAGTTGCAGCACCTTTAGATCTTTAAAAATTAAATATATATGGCTCACTACTAAAATCTGGATCTAGACATAGTTGTTGAAATTTTCAGAAAGGCTTGGATGTTCATGTGGTGTAGTGTCACTCCCCACAAAACCAACTTAAGTATTTATAATATTAATTAGTCTTCTAGTTTTAAAATATAAATGATCCAGTTGTTGAAATTTGGAAGATTTACCCTGTATTAATTTTGGAGTACAATTTTTTCGTGGTTAGGATAAGACCATAACTTTGTTTGTTGTGGCTGTTGTTCTGATCCTATGTTTGGCTAAGTTGTTCTAATCCTACTTAGAAAGGCAATATATACAACTCTGCTTTGCATAGACATGCAGTGGCATCATGCTATTTTTATCTAAAAACTTGCTTAGCATACTCAGGGTCTTCCAGGTACCTGTTTTCTAGTGACATCCAAAGGATTGTTTGTGCACACCTGTGTGGATTCAACATTAGTTTCTTTGACTTTACCTAAATACTCCAGAGAGTTCATGAAAGTGCATACTGCCATGCTGGGCAGCAGCACCTGCTGGGGAGGGGCCTGCCTCTATAAAGTTCCACTCGGGGCTCTCAGTGCAGCAGGAGCCACAAGCAGAGCAAGCAGTGCCTTCTCTCTGTTGTCTGGAGAAGTCCTGTCTCCTGCCCAGAAAACAGGGCTGGTTACATAGAGCAGAAGAGGATGAAGCAGAGTCCATGCAGACACAGGACATGGTCTGCCCCCTCAGGAGACAGTGCTGGTTCCGGTGGGTTGGTCTTCCAGGAAGAGACTTCAGGACAGTCTGTGTGATCCTCACCATCACTGCTGTCCCTGACAATACATTAACAGGGGTATATATCTGTTAGGTAATATTACTTCATTTTCTAAAAGTGGTATGTGCCCCAGCATTTACTGTCACCCATCCAGTCCATGTGCCAGGATGACTTCTATGTGCCTATTCATCAAGGAAGGGCTGAAAAAGCAATTCTGGCACATACTTCTCTTGCAGCAGGCTGCTGCTGTATCAGGGCTTGTCCAGAGGCCACAATGTCTGTAGAAATGATGTTGGCTGGAGGGACTGGAAGAAATGCAAGTGAACTTCTGGCACCAGTGCTTTTGCACAGGTGTTCAGGCAGCAGGAACCTATCAAGAGAGACGTTTGCTGTGCTCTGCAACCTGGTACAGGTTGTCAGGTCCAGGCACAGACTGCTCATGAGGTGAGGAGAAAAGATGAGGAAGGCTGAGCGTCTCACAAAGAACTGGATCCTATCCCTGCTCACCACTCGCTCCTGTCCAAGCTCCAAGAAAAGATGTAGCAGGACCCCTTCAATCCACTCACTGGGCACAGATAGGTGGATGGCAGTTGAAGAGGAATGATGCATCTTGAGGTACTGTGAATTCTTGAGTCTGTATTTATGGCATACTGAGGATACAGCTGGAGCATTCAGGAGGTGCCTTGAAAGCTGCCAATAAGAACATAGGAAGGTGTATAAAAATATGGTTATTCGCTTAGTTTTTTGCATATCCAATGTGGGATTCAGGGTAGAATTTAAAAATATATGATACATCTTTCTATATGATCTAAAAAAACCTATGTATGCTGAGATAAGACCATTATCAGTTTAACCTACTTGAATATTACATGGATGACTTCAATTTTTTAGAGGCTAGGGTCATAAATTTGTACTTAAGTCTTTTAAAATATAGGAAATTGTAGTCATCTCTGATGTTCTGATGGATAGAATACTTAAATGCTGACATTGTGCTACTTATTAGATCCAAGTATCAGAATATTCAAATAAAGTTGAATGAAAAATGTTAGTGGATTTGTAATTATGACTTCAGAATGATGAGAATGCATTATGGGTTTTCTGGTTTAGAGAGTAAATGTTGTTTCAAAGTCACTTCTCTTAAAAGACTCTGAACGTAAACCATCAGCATTAGGACATTCCCATACTATGTTTTAACCAGAATATTAAAAAAATGAAGAAAATGCTATCTTGGACTAGTGACTTTTTTGTTCTCTTGTAACAGCTCTAAGCTATTGCCCACAGTATATTTCTTTTTGCCAAGTCTGTATGTTGACATGGAACCTATTACTTTAGATGACAATGTTACTTCTGGAAAAATTCATTGGTCTCAGTCAAATGATTTTATATTATTCTCTCTCAAGGAAAAACAATGTGTTGACTTTCAATTTTATCAGACAATTATGTCAAAACTGGCATAAGCAGCAGGTAACTTCATTAATTCAGTAATTTAAGATACATCAGCTTGCTTTTCTAACAGAGGTGTTTACATTACACTTGGTAACACAGTTTGTATTCAGAACATACTTCAAGGTTGCCACTCACGATATTATATTTTGTATTCTCAGACTTCTCTGTAAAAGTTATGGTCTGAAATTGTGAAACAGAGCATATTTTGTCCTACATGTGGCACTAGGCAGACTCCATCTGCTGATAAATTCCAACCTGAACAGTACAGGGTTTACCATCTCTCTATATTGATCAAGTAGCTGCACTGGCAGAGAACTATGTGCACTAAAACTTGCTGTAAAAATAATGTGACTGGAGCCTGTCTTTGTCCTTTTTTAAAAAGTGGGTAACAAAAGTCACAAAGATGAACTACAGAAAAACATAGTAAAATCTGTGCACCCCTTAGGTAAAAAATACTTCTCACATTGTCTGTCCCAGATGATGAGGAATATACGAATGAAAAAGGAGTAAAAATAACTTGCAATATTGAAAAAATACAAATCAAAGCCATTACATGTTACTGAACCAAAACTAAGTAGTTTTTTTCTTTAGAAAAACCATTTCCCTTGATAGCTACGGGTAATTACCATAATATGCATTCTCAAAGACACAACAGCTTCCCAGAAAATCAATCTGAAACTGTTGGGAAGTGGTCATCCCATCCATCTACCACAATAGAGAGTCAAGAAGCCATATCAAAAAGGAATGATCAACACTTGACCACAAGATGATATAAAGTTAATAGCACAGGTCTTGGCCAGTCCTTCAAATGTGATTTAGTTGATGAAACAGGTTCAGGTTTAATAATTTTACACTTACTCTATAGACAAGTGAAAAACTGAAAAATTATTAAATTCTTAAAAGTAAGAACTTGAAAATTGTCTGCTAGATTTTTTTAAAAGTACCAGTCAGAAAGAAAATATTAAATAAATTTTGCGTTTAAATGCAAAACAAGAACTAACCCATAATAAAACAAAATGTCATCTGCAGTTTCATTAAAAACAGCAGCATTTTACATAAGGCATGAGGAACAGATTTTTTTCCTTTGTAAATATTTAATATTCAAACCCCAGGCCAAGAATACTCTGTTTCTGCAGAGGACAGCAAAAAAAGATCTACATCAACTAAAAGTACTTCAAAGAACAACAACAAAAAAGACAAAAATTAAATTACATAATCTCTGAGGAAAAACCGAAGAAGCAATGAAAGATGTGATACTAAGGTAATACATGAGAAGTTTTAAAAAATGGTGTAAAAAAAGTGATGGTGAAAATTTTTACATTTCCCTCACAATGTTGCAAGAAATAAAGTCTTATTTGCATATGAGAAAGTTTGGGACAGATAATAAGAAAACTTCCTAATATGTGCAGTGTTGATGAAATGTGAATCAACTCTTTCAAGAGACATTGTACAGTATTTTGGACATGTTTTTCATGAATGATCTGTGTATATGTGGCCTTAGAATAGGGAGTAGATTGAGTCACTTTCTTCATTCTGAGTGGCAAGGTGCCATGTTCTAATACTAGACCTGCACAACTAGGGTACCTTTCTGCAGGGTATACTCAATTTTAGACTGTAGGTTCAAATGCAAGAACATCTGATTTCTCTCATTACGTTGGAGATAATCACATTTTATGAATTGTTGAAAAGTGCTTATCAAGAGACACAGAATTAAACGTTTTTTCTCTTTTTTTTCCTTGCCTCAGAGTTTTCATGAGAAAGGTGACTATTCGGTAATGCTTGTTGTAAAACTTACTTGTTATGTTTGGCATCTTCTGCCACTGAATGGTACCAGGGAGTCTGGATCTGTTGTTTTTCCTCCTTCAGCCACACTCCACATTTTTTTTTAACTTTATTTATATCTGAGAAAGAAGCCACAGGGGATTTGTTTAAGAGGGAAGCATCCAACAGAAATAAGTGTTCCAGTTCACGTGAAGCAAATAGTAATCCTGAAACATAAACCAAAATCACTTAGATCATTCTGTCACAATATAAATCCTGCACAGTATTTTCTTAAGAATTCTTTAAAGAATGATCTTGTCTCTTACATTTGTTCAGCATGATCAGTTACTTTTCTCAGTTTGGTATCTGTCTCTGATAACTTTCTGCCTTATCATGGGATTGTAGGAGATGGAGTTGGAATGGACCTCAAGAAATTTCTGGTTCATCACACTGCTTTATGTACATCTGTCTCCTATCTGACAATATGAACAGATCAATTTTTAAAACGTACAATTTATTTTAAAATTCTGATTATTGAAAAAAGACCAATATGAAAATTAGAGTGAGAAGTCCTTAACAGCACCTGGGACACTATGGTGATCCTCCCTGTCTGCCTTCCAGCATTCTGCTCTGTTAAATGTTTATCTTGTTTTCCTTTTACTCATTAAGCTGTTTTACAGATTATTTGTCTAGAATTGTCATTTTCTAGCTTCTGTCTTTCCTTTACGCTTATTTTCTGTTATTTTCACAGATGATGGTACAAAGAGAACTCAGTGAAATGAGTGCCCATAGAAGGGCTCTCAGAAGAGCAGTATCTTTTCACTGAAAAGAATAGAAATACAATAAGCACAGAAGTGGTGCTGGTAATTTTTGGTATTTATCTTGAGACATTCCCAGTCCATCTTTCCCTACTCTGATTGAATTTATGTTGTGGTCTGGACACAATGATTATCCAGTGTTGTGTACAAGCAGCTCATTCCCTCCCTCACTTTGGCAACTGCTTGTGGTTTCCTCTGGACATCAGGTTCCCTTCTCTACTGTTTTGGGATGAATCTGGTGCCAGTAGCATGACTGAAAGCCAGGCCAAAAGTGATGGCTGACCACCCACCCTTGTACTTATAGGAATCGAATGTATTGGGGAAAAGCTCTAGGGAAAAATCCAGCCTGTTTCTTGGAAGGTTCTAATATGCAATGTAAACCTGAAGGTAGGAAATAACTTTGCAAAAGAGAATAGTTAGTAAAATTATTGAAAAGTGCCTGGAGAATAGCATCATACTATTCTACTCGCTATGATGATGCAGTACAGGCCACCTATGATTTGTCAGAACTGTTTAGTTATGCTAAATTTGGATTTCAATAATATAAATTTTTGCAGAGTTTTTTGCAATCAATTTTCAACCTCCTTTGTAATTCTTTTTTCTTCCTTTCTTCTTTTCTTCCAGTAACTGTTGCTATATCTGCATTGTTCTGCAGCCAGTGCCAGGTTTGTGGCCAGCTGGAAAAACCAGTAACATCCTCTGCTGCAGCTGGACTGCTGTTCATTCAAGTGCTGCTCTGGAATGGATACCCAATGTTAGCAGCTGGATTGTGAACCTCTGTTTAATAATGGAGGGAATGTTAAGTGTGTGTTTTTTAGAAAATAACTCAATAGGCTTGGACCTTTTTGTTTAATCTTATGCTCTCTTTGCAAGAAAAAGAATTTTAAAAGTTGAAAAGTCTGTTGAATTTCTGAAAGTTTATTACTTGATAGCAAAGACCCCTTTTAATCTGAAAATAGGGAAGAAGAGAGATCTTAATGCACATGCAGTGCTATAATGCCTATGTCTTGAAATATGACATTTTCTTATATAAATGGAAGATTTGTTGTTTTGCAGCTGTTGCTGTTGATTGACTTAGCAGTTTTTTTGGGTGGGAACTATCCATTTCAGTGTGGAATCTGGGACACACTGACAAAATATTGGTAATTATGCAAATTACTTTTTTTTTCTGAGGCAAGAAAAATGAGCTGCAGCAACAGGAAACTCCAATAGTGCCGCCAAGAAAGCACATAGATCCTTGCAGATGACAAATTAAAAAAAAAAAAAAAAAACAAAAATAAAAAATTGTATTTCTGTGATTAAAAAATTCACACAAATTCTATTTTTGGAAGCTGTTAGCCAGCTTTGATGCAAGAAAAGGAATCTTTCTTACCAGCTTTTTATGTCTTCACAGCATGCATTCCAGAAGGTCTAATATATATGACCTGAAACAGAGTTGAAGAGAAGTGCTGGAGCCTAAGGCTTCACCAATGAAACTGACAAGCAGGTTCACCAGAAGACAGCTGGAATTGACAAACGAATTGACTTTTTAGTGAGTTTTCCTCTAAGAAGCACTCTAAGAGTTGACATGGACTATGGTTCAGGACATTTACACCAGCAGTAAATTCAGTAGTGAATTTAGTTTGTTGATAATAATGTTCAGTTTGGAGATCAGCTCCAAATCCATCATTTTCTCATTTGCCACTATAGGAAAGTAGATAAACTTGATACACTTTATGTTGTGCAAATAGTAAAAATCTTAAAGACTTCCTTAATTGATGGCCTAAAAGCTATGAAGAAAACTTTTACATTATAATTCCTCTCTTACATTATAATAACAGGAAGTCAAAAAAACCAATGTCAGATTTGGATTTCATGAACTGATTTTCCCCAGCCATATTACATAAATTTGAATTTGTTTTTCCAGCTCCTCGAGCATGATATCTCTTTGGATAACTTTAAGTGTTATGAAATACAGAAGGGACTCAGGAGAAATCTATAGGCCAAGTTCTGCCGTGAGGTATGGTGATGTGAGAACCGTTTCTTAAAGTGTCTGGATCCCAGCTCAGTGGGGATTCAGAAGGGCTTGGATGGCTTTACTGCTACTGAAGATTGTCTCCTTTTGCTCCTGTAAAACCATTATAAGGTGTTATTGTTTAACAGCATCCCAAATGCCTGGGAGTAAATGTTGCAAATACTGGGAGCATACACATAATTTTTCTTACCTTGTGTGCCTTTGTCTTCTGCGGCTGTATCCAGGTCTTTAAGTACTCTCTATAGTCTTTTTTCTTTTTTTCATGAGAGAGAATCCTAAATCCTTCTCCTACCCTTTGACTTATAAAAGTACTACAGAGGTGAATATTTTGCTTTCATTTCATTTAAGAGGAAAAGTTCTTTGTCTGCATTTTGCACTATGAAATTTTTTGACCTCAAAGCAAGAGATCAGGCAAGCACATGTAAAACATACTGATGCTCTATAAAACACAAAGAGAAAAGAGTGACAAATGGAGATCTGATTAGCCAAAATGAAATAATGTGTGGTTTTCTTGGGGAAATAATAGTGAGCACTGTCTGCATAATTATTAGGAGAATTAAAGAAAAAAAAAATTTTATATATATACTTTGTTCCAGTATAGCTGTATATACTTTATATCCAGTATAGATATTTGCCATAGGAATACTTAGAACATACTGGTTGAATACACATTCTGATCCTCAGCAACTATGTGCATTAAGAGTTGGTGGCTTTCTGCAAATAAACCCATTAACAAAATAAATCCATGTTTACTAGCTACAGTGTACCTATTTTATATGAACAGATCTCTTAACTGTCCTATTTATGCAATGTGTGCTATTAATTAAAAAAAAGGCAGTGCATACATGCTGGTTTATGGCACATGGCTTGAGAGCAGCACATTTATCATGTCACTAGATGATCAGCTGCCCAAAATTTGCCCACATCCTCTTATCTGCTTATGTGTCAACAATATGCTTATCCTGGTTGTCTAGAGTTCAATGAAATCAGTCAAGTTTCCAGGGAGTATGGCACAGTATGTCTGCTATGAGAAGACTGAAAGGGAATTTGGGTACAGTGAAAGGAGGTGAATGAATACTTTTAAACTTTCTAAGACATTCAAGCGTTCAAGCCTTTTAATGTCAACAAAATACCCTAATTACTTAAACAAAAGGACCTGGAGATAAGAGAAGAACTCAGACGCTGGGTAGCATCTAAAACATGGAGCTGCCTAACAAGGTTAATATTTTTTATGTGTGCTCCATCTTACTCAGTATAAATATCTTATCTATAGTAATATTGTTTGTCACAAAACTAATGAACCTGTTAAAACTCAGGAAAACCATGTGATACATGGAACTGCTAAGACATATTTAATAAAACCTGTACATTCCAATAATGAGAAACTCAGACTCATGCACTAAGATGTTCCAAAAATGCTATCTGAAAAAACCCTCGATGCTATTTTTCTGCCAGACCAGGCTGATAAATGCTATGATGCATCATGCCAGGACAAGCAGGATTTGGAGCAGCTCTGGGAGATGTCCTGGTGGCCTTCTACTCTGGGCAAGCACAGGCAAGGTCAGCAAGGTCCCTGTGGTGTCTGGAGACCACCGACATGCTGGATAGTGCTCTGGACAGGTTCAGCAGGGAGCAGTAGAGTTGGGTCAGTGTAAACACCTGCACTCTATCTGACCTGCTAACTTCTGAAGAGGAATTTCTCCTAATTGGTCTTTATAAAGAAAACTAATGTTAAGGCAGGGGGGGAAAAAAGCTCATACTGGTCAGATAGTGGGTAAGAACCTCAGTCTGACCCAGCTGTGTCTTGTCTGTGACAAAGAAAAGTGAAATGAATTGCAAGGTCATTGCACCCTGCCTGTATCAGACTGTCTTTCATACTCAATAAATGATGTGTGATTACAGTAAGCAGTTACCTTTGAGGGAGTATATTTGGCAAAACCTCTCCCCTCTCTCTTCAGCACGGGTACCATGGCTTTGTGCCATGGTATCCTCCTACCTGTCAAAAGCCTTCAGTTTGAATGCACTGAGTGCTTCCAAGTGAGGGGTAAGCCTGGTGCAAGGCAGCCACTGCTGGAATGCTCATCGCGGTGAAGTCTCTGGGCAGAGAGGCGGTCACTGCACCCATACTCATAGGGGTCATTCTGATATCTTTAGGACAGCCTTCTCAAACACAGGGAGGTGGTTTAGGAACTAACAGGTTATTTTGTCTAGATGTCTGGTTCATAGAGAATACAGCAAAGCAATTGTCTCCTCTATTTATTTTTCCATTTTTCCCACTGCAAAATGACTCAGTCAAGGGGTGGAGGGTTTTTTTTAATTTGTTTTTGTTCTCTTTTTCTTGTTTTTTTTGGGTTTTTTTTCCATAGGGGTGATTTTTTGTTATGTTTGCATTTAAGTATTTTGTATCTAAGGGTTGATTTTTCTCATTGCTTTCCCTCAAAAGCTCAACACTTGGATTTCTTTTACAGGTAGCATAAACTGAAGACAGATTTTGTTTGCTTCCCTTTGCTAAACTTCTCTTGTTAAAAATGACTGATGACTGTTTATCCTTTCTTTTGTGCTTTGTACAGATATCAAATTCCATGCTTTGAGAAAAGAATATAGAAGGGATCATGGATTCATCATCATTTATCATGCACTTCATTGTGCATGTGTGTGCCTGCACTGCAAACCAACATTGCAGATAAATTAGTTTGTCTCTTTGCAGTGAGCTGTAATTAGAATTCTGACTGGCTGGAAAGTGACAATTCATTACACTGCAAAACTACAGAGCTAGACTAACCTTTTCTGGAGGCTTTTCAAAAACACCATTTGCACTTTCTGGCATGCACTGAATAATAATGACATAGTGCAATGGCTTCTTAATATTTTGCAACGGAATAGCAAATATGAGCCCATGTCATCCAGTGGGAGCCCACTGAGTTAGTTCATGTATAAACACCATTTCTTTTGACTCCATCTAAAAGAAGTTATGACCAAGTGAGAAAGACTAAGCCTGGGAGAACATGTGTCCTATTCAGTGTTCATTTCTTCACCCCAGAGCGGACGGCTTCCTAAAGGCACAGGCAGAGTGCCTCAGCATAAGCAGCATCTGGCAGCAGAGAGACAGTGCAGTAACTCTGGTGCTGGCCTCTCTGTGGCTGATGGCACACAACGATGGACGCTGTTTGTGCCCACAATCTTTGGCTATCATCTCCATCTCTCAGATATGCTAAAAGCTCAGTCAGCCTCAAAAGATAACAGAACAGAAAACAGTTAAGTGCCTGATCCAAAACTCCAGAATGTATGGGTGACTTAAATGAGAGTTCCAGTTCCTTTGAAACACAAAGGTATTCTTCAGACACAGCCAAGGATTTAGAACTTTCTATCTAGTCCTTAAAATAATATGGATAACCTTCCAAGACTGTTCTGTTTATAGCAGATGCAAATTTCTGTTCCCTTGTCGGCGAACATCTTGAAGCAGGATTTCTTCTAGGTCAAACGAATTACTTAGCAGCCTTTAATCTGAGGTGTGTTTTTCCCTGTAATAATGTCGGATTCTTATCTTTTAGGCTGGAATATGCTGTTCTTTTAAGAGGAGTCAGTTTTCTTTAAAATTTGAACAAAATCGAGGCATGCTTTTAAAGGAGACTAAAAGAAAATTGCACGTCTGCTGCTAAAGAAAAAGGAAAAACACAGGAGGTGTTTTTCTTACCATTTTTAATACTGAAGCCTAAAAATGTAGAAAATGTGCATCTGGATTAGGAATGTCTTTGAAATTCCAGTAATAACTTTTAATGCTCAGATAAAATTCTGATAAGATTCTGTTTTGATCAATAGGGTTATCACATTAAATAAATCTGTGTATACGAGAAACACAGCTGCTAGGGAGTATTATTTAATTATGTTTTCCTTGTGGTCCTTGTTTATATAGATACATTGAATGAGTTTTGAATCATATTAAAAATCAACAGAGGGAAGTTTTGGTTCTCAATGGGTAAGAACTTGTGTCTATGTCTAAATGACTGAAGGGATGTAAAGTATAAATCAGGATATTTAGCACAATGGAAGATGGAGAGTTGTGCTGCAAAAAGTCTAATCTTTCTCCCTTTACCCTTCTCCCTTTACCCTTTTTTTGGCCATGAATTCTGTATACTGCAGCACTGGCCCCTTGACACCATCCAGAGCTGTTCTTTGATGTCACCAAGTCCTTTGGAAAAATATTTTTTTAATGTTTCTGTTCCTGTTTTAATGTTTCATGTGTACCAGGCCTACTGTACCATTTTGTTAGCCTCTTCCATTTGTTTACCTTGCATATTGTTTCTTTTCCTGAATTCTTTCCTTTAGATATCTAAGGGCAGTGGGTGTCCTTCTGTGCTGTACTCATCATTGGCCAAAAGAGCTGTGAGTTCTTCCTGTGACTGGGCACCCAAAGTAGTAAGGGATACCTATGTGGAAGTTTTGCTGTGACCCATGTGGAAGATTGTTGCAGAAGCTGCTATCAGAAGGACTGCTGTGCTACACTGTGGGAATGACTCATTCCTTCTTGAAAATTCTTAAAAGGATTATCAAAGCTAATCTGCCACCAACTTTAAAACTTGAAAAAAGGAGCTTGCAAGGAAACCCACACAGTGAGTGCTGTGATTTCTGCTGGAGGAGAGGAACTTACCATGCTATATTTGCACTCCAATTGAGTGTTAAGATTAAAACAGTTTACCAATTAAAATGAAATACAATACAATACCAATACTAATGATAGTAGTAGTAGTAGTAGTAGTAGTAAAGAAAAGTCAAGAGAAAGAGGAATAAAAGTCAAGAGAAGGTGATGCACAATACAATGTTTACCACCTGCTGACCGATGTCCAGACTGTTCCTGAGCTGTAGAATCACAGAATCAGCTAGGTTGGAAAAGACCTTCAAGATGATCAAGTCCAACCTAAGACCTAAAACTCCCTTATCAACTAAACCATGGCACTGAGTGCCACATCCATTCTTTTTTAAAACACCTCCAGGGACAGTTACTCTACCACCTCCCCAGGGAGCCCAGTGCTTAACCATGCTTTCTGCAGAGAACTGTTTTCTAATGTCTAGCCTAAATTTCTCCTGGCACAGCGTGAGACTATGAGCTTAAAACCAGCAGCTCCTGGCTGACTCCCCACAGTTTAAGTACTGGACAAGATATTCTATGGTATATCCATAGATATTCCATATTCTATGGTGTGGAATATCCTTCTGGCCATCTCAGATCAGGTGTCCTGGTTATGCTTCCTCCCAGCTTCTTATGCTCAGTGCCAAAGCAGGGGACACTAAAAAGTCCTTAATTTAGGGTAACCACTGCTTACCAATGACTGAAACATTATTGACATGTTTCTCATACTAAATCCAAAACACAGCAGTGTACCAGCCACTAGGAAGAAAATTCACTCAATCCCAGCCAAAACAAGGACACATTCATTGGTGGTGCAATGCATATGCATGAAAATCTGTTTGTGATTAAAAAATTACAAAACTCACTCAAATAGGAAATTCAATGTTAAAGGTGCCACAAATAGAGCAAGTGATTCCTCAAAGACTACTGATGTAAGGAATCTCTTTGTCACTGACTGATTCTTGTCACAGAAGAGTAGCAATTTGGCTTAAATTTTATTTGCAGATGACAGAGATAGGAGGAATTAAAAAATCTTTATTTCCTTTGTTATGGTAGGAAAACCAGCAAAATCTAGACATTCAAAGTTCAGTAGCTTTACCAGTTTTCCACTGAGCCTGATCAGAATGAGTTCCTCATTCTTAATTTTGCTGGTTTTAGTGACTTGCTCTGTAGCTGGACTTCACATGCGGCATCACATAATGTTACTTAGTGCTGACTCTGCAGTAGAGGCAGTGTTCATTCCTGTCCCTCAAGGACAGCACCAGCTGTGCAGCTGCAACACAGGCTCAAGCACAGTCCCATGAGGAATGCTTAGCTGATAAATCACAGTATTTGGCAGTGGTTTAAACTAAAACCCTTGCACTGAAGCAGGGTGCTAACACTAAGATGGTAAGGCACTGTTCAGGGAGAGCTCCGGGAGATCTTTTTGCCACTGTTGAACTTCCAGGTGCCTGTGCAAAGGATTGCAACCTGCTGGAGTTGCAGCCCCAACCTGTTTGCACTCCCACAGTCAGGGCTGTAGGCTTGGTTTCACAAACAGCTCTAATCTTGGCCTCTTTTTGGACAGCTTTACTGCAGCTTAACTACAGCTCTCACACATGTGGTGCATGTTAAATACCAGACCATGCTGACTGATCAGCTGCAGCCTTAGCAGATCAAGGAGCCAACATTACTTTAAATAAACTTCCTATGTCATGGAGTTGGTGCTGCTGTTTATATTTTTCAGTGAATATGCCCTTCTTGTTACTATTGCAATTC